AATAGAAAACCCACTCTCAGGTAAAGTAGTTGTAAGCAGAAAAGTGCATGACAACCTGAGTAACCCACAAAAGAAATTTCGAGCAAACATCACCTCAGTGACAACATATCTTTTGAACCACTACTTGCTATTCAAAAAAAACTTCATTATCAATTGAAGACCTATATAATTTAGTTTATTACTAATTCTCCTATCCTTGGAGCTTGTGGTTTAGGGGTGAGCTTGTTTTGTGTAGTAAAGAGTATATTTGATCAAGTTTTAGTTTTTTCTATATAAAATGTTCTACAGAGGTCATTAGGTGACAAATAATATTTTCTGAGCTACTGAACATATACTCTAGGTGTCTGGCTAGGTGGCTAAGCTCAAATAAATTATTTGTGGTTGTGGCCCGAGAGTGGGTTTTCTATTGACACAGGCTCATTTAATAGATATAGTTCCTTACTGGAATGGTATCTATTTATATTATGATAAAATGAATACTATTGGTTGATTGTAATTTTGACACTACTGTTAGAAATAACTTAGTAAATAGAAATCTCATCTACTTCACCAATGCTTTAGAGATTAATATACCATAGTATCCAGAGTTAAATTGTAAGCATTCTGTAATTGACATCTGTAGTATTGATTCTCTGCTCTTTTTTTCTTTGCTTCTATTAGTACTTTTAATTCTAATATGTATTCTATAACTTATACTAAGATCTCAAGATTCTTACTGAGTATGACTTTTTGAAAATGCTGCATTGATATTGATCAAATTCTACATCTTCTCTTTCTTTTCTACAACTTAAATACTTGATTGTTGCTATCATATTTCTTAATACTATGTATTATAGTTTTCTAGTATTAGCTGCCAAAAGTTAGCTTTATATGAATAAATGAACTTAAGATAGTGAGAAGAAGATAGCTCTCTTATATATAGAATAAAGAAAGGGTAAAATATTAGAATCTGGCAGAGAAAATAATGTTAAGAAAATTAAAAGAAAAGGAATAAGCAAGAGAGAAGAAGGAAGGAAAAACATAAAAATAATGGAATAAAAGGAAGGTGATAACAGTGAAGTAGTAAGTAGGAAGTGTGGAGTGCCAGTGAGAAGTGGTTAGTGATGAGATAGAGGAGAGAAGGTTACAGAGATATTATAAGAAAGAAGAAATTAGTTGAAAACAACTTCATTAAACCTAGACTATTATTTTAAAATGTCCATTTAGCTTTGAAATAAGTTATATTTAGTAATAGTTGAATCAATATCATATTAGCCATATCTGATAAAGCTTGAATAACTGCTTTATCATAAGTAATTAGTATTTTCAGTTTGAATTTAAATGTACCTGCACCTTACATGAAATATCATACAAAAGTAAGTATGGGCTAGGAACCTCAACTGTGGACCAATCAGAAGGCTGGGAAATCCGCAAGACCACCTTGTAGTACATAATAGAAATAGATGGTCCCCCACGTAATCCAGGCCAAACCGCCATCTCCCCTGCCGTTCGTCTGAGCAGCGGCTGTCCTGTGTGTCTCACGATACTGATAAGGGCATAGTGTACCGGGCCTGGCGGCCTAGCCTGGTAGTCCCCAACGTAATTTGCCCTGCATAGGACCGTGTTTAGCAGTCCCGTCCCGTCCCCTCTGCTTGGCATTATCCTCGCCTTCCCTATGAGGCCCCCGGACGGTTCGGAACACTGCCGGCAGGTGATCTATGGCCTATCTTAAATTCTGGGTTGTTCCAGACCCTCATCGGTCAGGTCTGAAAACTGCAAGACCGATAGCCTGTTTCTCAATAATCAGGAGATAGTAGCTGCTTCTGCTATCATGCAATTCTAGAGAGCTACTACAGTTATACTCGCCCGCTCAGGCTGCATATCAGATTAACTGGAAGCTGAGGAAGCTGTACGGAGGTACAGCCAATAAGTTTTGTATGTTCCACAGGGGCTAAGAGCGACGAGCCTCGCTTGTGGAACATACAAAACCTATGGGCTGTACCTTCGTAGCAATCCTCCCTTCCGATGCCTGAATTCAGGTGCCGAATCATTTACCATCTCGGCCACATCTGGAATCTTGCTTCCTCAATCAAGCCTGTTTCCTCGAAAATATCGTGCGCGCGATACCTTCGATGGCCTCATCGCCTGGGCGGCTGTGGCGTTCAGTAGTTTGCACCATTCAGATGGCAGCCACGCCCCGGAGGCAGTACACAGGGTGGCCTGGAACTGCAGGACCCCACGAACCAATAAAAGTATTAACCCTCTTTTGGAGTGAAGGTAGACATGCGAGAGGATGGAGATGTATAGTGGCTGTCTGTGGCCGCATCATTATGGGGGCACATATGGGTGTTGTTGGACGAAAAGAATTTTGGCTACTTACCGCATAAGTTGCCGGGGGGGGGGGGAAAACTAGGTCACACACTTTACGCCGATGTTCAATCTGGAGTAATTGAACAGACCCAATTTCGGTGGAGTCACAGATCACAACCTGTGTGATCCAATTACGCAAGACTCAAGTTCGTCGTAATTGAGTCCACACTAAACGCGAAGAAGATACAGGACTGCAGTCACATACACACACCAGCGAGATGAGATTGCCTTACTACAACTATTAGCTAACCTCCACTACACCACCCCAATATACCATCAAGCCTCTGAATCTCTCTGTCTCTCATTTGTTGCACCTAATACATCTTATACAGTTCGGAAATGGTCCTGTATCTTCAACTCGATACAACCCTCTTGGGATTACCACAATGGATCATACCTCGGGAGACGTTACACTACCACCTTCCCCTTCCAATGAAACCTGAGAGACTACCACCAGACTTCAGCCACAGCTGTTATTCTCGGGCCCTGTTCGGACGTCAATTACTTTTACAGCCTCGGCCATCCACATGGAAAAGGGAGATACGGGTGTGTGCTGCGATGGAGCATGGAAAAAAGGGTGTTGGGAGAAATGTATTGGAAGCACAAAGTACTCTGGCAGTACGGGTGGGCTTGAGAAGGATAAAAAGGGTCCTGTTTTCCTGTTGTCAGTTTTTTTTGCTTCGGGTTCGTTGCCGGTCGTTCGCTATACTCCTCTCCATTATCTGTATTAGTTCTTTAGTTTTTCTATCTTCTGTACTCTTGGTTCTTTGGACATTTACCTCCGTTTCTTTTCTGTTGCTTGTTTATTGCAGAATTCTATACAAATCAATTCGCTCAATCCGCTGTTCATTCAACGTGTTGTCGAAAGGGTGTGGGAAGTGAGTTTTCTGTACTGGGATATGCCCTAGTTGTGGTATTTGTATGGGGTTCTGCCGGGACCGTAGTGTTTTCTATTTCTATTGGTCGTTAGTTTGTTGTCGTCTGTCTACAAACATCATCTCTCCTCTCCTCCTATGTGGTGGATGAATAGGTATTTGTACCACTACCACACATGATGCGTGACGGGGAGATCACATCGTCTTACCCGCAGATGGGCGTCTTGTGAAATTGCCACGTCGGAGGGACTCTGGAATACCCGTGCGTCGTGTCGGGGTGCTCTTGGCAGTCTGCCAGGAGGGCCCTGTGAGTTTCCTGGAGGGCTGGAAACACTGCCCCTACCCAATAAGGCCACTGCGGTGCTTCCGTTTTGAACACCATGGTTTGTGTGGCAAATTGCCACCCCATTATATTCGCCGCCTATCACTCATCTTGTTTTGCTTGGCTCCCTCTCGTGTTGTGGAGAATTTCCAATCTTAGTCGTGGTATTATCCGCTGCGTTGCATTGTAATTTTCAGCGCGGCCGCCAGGATCATTATCAATTGCATCATCGTGGTCCTCAACACATTATCGGTTGCCATTGTTTTGGTGGTCGCCATTTTCATTATTCCAGTGATTCGCATTACTATCAGTTCAATCCTCCATGTCCTTCCTGCCCGCATCTCCCCTATGCCCCGCATTGAATCTCTGTTAACGCTCCCGACACCGCCTGTATCTTCATCTAAGTCACGATTTCTGTGATCAGCTCCGGCCTTATCCTTTTCTGTGGCTGAATTGTGGTGTTCCTCCACTTCCTCAAGTTTACTGCCACTGCCTGCCATGCCAGGTGAAATTACAGATCACGCAGTATCTGGTTGTAGTCTGTATTGAGCTGTCCATGTCCTGTACCAACACCAATTGGATAGTTTAGGTACAAAAATAAAGCGAGGGGACTCCGATTTTGCGGCCCAACCGAGTGCCCACCATTCGTAGTAGGTTTATCCATTTATCTGGGAGTGAGTTCCCCCCACACTTGCGGAACAAGAGCGTTTCTGCTACGAGCTGAACCACTTGACAGTGTGCAGGTTCACAAAACGGGCCCGCCACCTATGCGGAACGTTATGGGGCGGTCCAAACAGCGCAGAATTATGGTAGCGGGTCTCTGAAAAAAGAGAGAAAGAGGAGGGGCGACCTTGGCTGGCACAGGTACTATATATTCAAAGTGGAGTCAGAACAGAGTTTTTGAAATACCCTTAACCCTCGCTCTCCCGGTTCTCAATAATGTAGATATCATACCTCACTGTCCCGTATGAAATACCGCAAAAACTCACCAAACTCGCTATGCAGGTATTGGTGGTAGGGCTTGGATGGGAGCTGTTTTACCCAGAGAAAAGACAGAAAATGACAATAATACCTGAAAATAGCTGTATACCTGTGCCAGTACCCACGGATACATAAAATACTGTAATAGTAATACTGGTCTTATCAGATAAGAGAAAATAGGTTCGTCGCTGGAATGGTCTTGGCTGTATCGCCACGTATTAGCACCAAAACTCTCCTACCTGTATAGCAAGTTTCGCGAGTTTCTGCAGTATGTGAGTTGATCGTGAAAAGATTTAAAACTAATTAATACCCCTAGCCCTGATCACTGCTGGTATTTAAGGGTGGAATAGCATCGGGACACACCTTCCATACCGCACACTGGCACCGAACAAGAAACCTTGTTTGCCCACGCCCTACTCCCTCACAAACCTACTATACTCTACACACTCTGATCAATCATTCAAACGTGTCTTTACACCGAGTTCGTTTGATTTGCACTTTCAGACTTTTCCTGTTTTTCCGCTGGTGTACTAATGTTTGTTTGCCCTTTCTCTTAGTGGACTCTCCTGCTCTTGCGCTTGCTCCCTACGCGGGGAACAATGATGACCTGCTGTGGAATCTCCCTTCAATCCCACAGCTACCGGATCAGAGTTCTCAATCCTTCTCTGTTTGTCTACAAGGCGTTTGTTATTCGTTCTGTTAGTGTTTTCCTCCGCTAATACTTGTTTTAAGCTCCCTTCAAACAGAGTATCCGTTCAACACTACGGTGGCCTTCTAGATTGTACGACAACAGAAGACGTCACACAGTCTGATATATCGTCGACCACAGTCCAAACCTCTGCGAAACCTCCCCTCGGTGGCCTTACGGCTCCTACTATACACCTCACCATGTCAGACCCGGTCCCTACACCTCCCTTCATGGTTACCACAAGTGTCTCCAAGGTCTACTATAAGGGCCTGCCGTCTGAACCACGCCTCATCGCTACCACTAAACTCAACCCTTTTGATGCTCCAACTGGTCCCGAGGCCTACACTGTTCTGAAGGAGCTCCGGTATTTGGGCGAGCATCCTCTCGCAACTCTTTGGGACAATGGTCTTGCCGGTGAGCTTTCCTCTAGCCTGGCCTCCATGGACGTCAAATGGTCTTCGCTCGATCTCCTTCATATTCCAAATGTTGGAGAGCCGTCGGGCCCAGCTGTTGTTTGGATTGGGGTGGAGCCCGGAGTACTGAGCTTTGAGGAGGGTAGTAAAGTTGCTATCAATTGCCACCAACTCATCGGCAGGCATGGTGTTGGTGACTACTGTGTTGAAATTCGTGAGTCACGTATTTTCCGGGAGGCCGGAAATAGGTTCCTCGATCCTGTCCCCGAATCCAATACCACATTCACTGCTCGAGACCCCTATACCGCAACCCTTGGGATTCCTATTACACCCAAGAATCGACTTTCCGTGGGGGGAACTGGGGGCTTCTTTCTTAGTGCTGGCGGTGATGACAAAAGTATCTACCTGGTCACTGCCCGGCATGTTGTTTTGCCCATTGATGAGAATTCCAACCAGGAATATATCCGGAAAAATGAGAGTAGGTGACGTGAGGAGGTTCTTGTCCTTGGCCCTTCCACTTTTGATAAGAAATTTGATGCTATCACCCATGAGATCAGCTGTCAACTATCTGGGATGGCTGACGCGAGGGAGCAGACCCTCATGTTCCAGGACCGTGATGATCCAAAGTCAGTCGAGGCATACCTGAAGGCAGAGAGGCAGTACCAGGAAGCGGACGACGGGATCAGGGAACTCGATGCCTTACAAAAGGAGGTTGAAATCTACTGGAAGGAGGTTAGCAACCGTGTTATTGGTGAATTGACCTGGGCACCTCCTATTATCCTCTCCACGGAACCTGACGAGTATACTCTTGACCTTGCGGTGATCAAGCTCAAGCCAGGCACCCTGGACACCCTAAACTACTATGGCAATACCATCAACATAGGCAACAAGATCCCCCGCCAAGAGTTCATGAACAAGATGTATCTCCATCATACGAGTCGAAGGCCCTTCAAATATCCTCCTGATCGTCTTGTAAAGCTAGCTGGCCAGGTACCGGAAAGAGCCCTGTTAATCCCACCCATGCTCGATGTCAACAACGAGCCGTGCTTGATCGTCTTCAAGAATGGCGCTGCAACAGGTACCACTATTGGTAAAGCAAACCGTGTGTCCTCGTATACACGTTGCTATTTCGCCGGCAAGTACCAGGAGTCGCGAGAGTGGCCAGTCATCGGCACAGACAAGAGGTCGGTGGCCTTCTCATCTTGGGGGGATTCCGGGTCTTGCGTGGCTGATGCCTATTCCCGTATTGGTGGTATTATTACTGGTGGTAGCGGTGCTACTGACACATCAGATGTAACTTACGTTACCCCAATTTCATTCATCATGAAGGTACTCCAGAAGACAAAGACCTTCAAGTATGGCCACCTGGACCCGCAGCTTACCTAGCTGGGTACTGTGTTGGGTGAAAATGTATTTCTTTTATAGTTTTTTTTTTTTTGCGATTGTAAAGCTACTATACCGGATTAGCTCAGAGACTACCTTGCGGGAAGTTGAAGGGGAACGTTGTAATGGGTGGCCGCCCTGCACAGTCCAAGTTACCTGGCCGGACGTGACTGGAGGACTGGATGAGGGGATTATTGCTTGTTAGCTGCCACTGGGGGGGGGGGCGAATTTGGGTTTTCTTTTGATGCAATTTTTTTTTCTTCACTCGAATAGGGTAACTTTCAAAAGAATTATCAGGAGGTTGATTGGTCCATTCAGATGAATTGAGATATGCTCCTGTGATTTTAGTTTCTTTTGAGAGGTTTGATTCAGATACTGTTCACTGGTTTCATTATGATGGCGGGCCTAGGTTGTGCCGACTACCAGAATTCTTTTTTTTTCAGTACACTGTAAGTCTATCTGTATCCAAGAATGGTGATAAATATTGTGCGGATACGTGAAAAACTATATCTGGCACAGTGTAATAATGACAAACTGACATGACAGCCAAGAATGTGAGAATAGTTAATCAATTATCAGGGGCCATAATGATCAATGGTAATAATCTGCCCTCAGTTCAAGTTGCAAAGACCCGAGCCAGTGATATAGTATATCTGCCCACGACTCCAACTCTAAAAGTTAAATACCTTGAATCACCCGGAATAGCCCAGAATGCAACCAACTGGAAAACCCATAAACCAACTACCACTATAACAATTCAGAACCCTGTATTACCAACGGGCTAGGCCACTGATAGGGCGGCCCATAGGCCTTAGGCAAAGCCGAGACAGGCCGCTCTGAGAATGAGCCTAGGCAGATATCGGCCTAACTCCATCATGCTTATCAACATGCTTCTAAGCTTCACAAATCCTACGACATATCCGGGAAGGGCTACGGACCATTAGGTGGAACTCGAGGAGCATGGTCGTTACTCCGAGTACCGGTAATTTACAATACCATCAACAGCCGGTAATTCAAGACCTCCTCACCCAGGACTGCTTCAATATGACATTTGAGTCGGTCGGGCCCCCAATTCCCTCTCTATTTTCGTATTCCCTAGATATTCCATCCGCAGTAACCTCCCAGGATCATTCATCGTGTTTCCAGATGGGTGTGCAGTGCCTTTAACCGTATCCATACATGCACAGAAAACGATTTCTACAACCTCCCTAACAACAGCCGAGTTAACACCTGCCGATTATTTAGCAAGGTTCTCGCAGGAGACCCCTCCGTATTCCAGTAGAAATAAGGCATTACCTATTAGAAGCGTCCTGTCCCCTAAAGGCTCCCATTTGTTGCTCCTGGTACCATATCACACTATGCTCATTGAGCAATACCCCTTGCGTATATATTCGGCGCAGCGCAATCCTCGGAAGAACAATAGATTCATGGAACCTTCCCGGGAATTATGCTCGTCCTTCCAGAAGTCCTTCACTACGCCATGGTAGATGCAATTGAAATTGAACCCCCCCCCTTGGCACCGGCAATTAGACCCTTCTTGCCCTCCTTGTATCTTACTCGTAACCTTGCGTCCTGTCCCGCTCTCGCCCCTCCATGGATCAAAGCCTCCTGTAAAGATATGGTTCAATCATGCGGTCTTTCTGCCTGACGTGGTAGCGACAGCGGGACCGGTAGTAAATGTGAATTTGCGGCATCCTACGTTAGAGTTGTGAGGGCATGGAGGGGCGGTTGCGTGCTGTGGCTCCGGCCAATATGAGACTCCACCCTGGCGGAAAATGGTTAAAGATAAGTAAAACTATCACTTCACCCTCACGTTGAAAGTATAGATAATCATACAAATCACGGGGGAGAAAAGTACGTTAACCTCACTAGTATTCTTTACTCCCTAACGGCCTTAATCTCAACCCGAGCGTTGTAGAATGGGAATGATAGTTAGAAACAAGCATGGTCCAGACAATGCTCCCACCAGGGGCACTCCCTCCAAGGTCTTCCACGACTGGATATCTATTAGAGACCTCCTTGGTGTATTCCATCATCTGGTCACGGTGTTGGGCAGTGGTAGTATCAGCATTCAATTTAGTGGTTGCCTTGAAAGTCCTGTGGCTGATGATGCTGAAGTGACGATACTCGGAAAAGGAGGCGCCGGAGACATGACCCATGTCTAACTAGAGGTCATCAACACATATACTGAACTCTATAAAGAACCTTGCCAATTTGGAAACCCCAACTCCTTGCAAGCCTTGCAATGGGCTAGCGCGGGTCGAAAAAAGAGCCGATCCGGCCCAGCCCAAGCCCAAGGAACCTTAAGCCCGACCCAGCCCGGCCCAAGGAAGTATAGCCCGGGCTAACCAAACGAGCCCATCGGGCCCCCGCACAGGTGAACAGCCATAAAAGAGATGAATGTAGATCTATTAATACTAGATTAAAATAAAGAATTGACAATGAGAACAGATGGTGCTTGAAATAGGAGATGAACACAACATAGTGAGAAATAGTAGTGATTATTTTCAATAGAAAGAGTGAATTTTATATGGACTGCCAACTTCGGAGGCACTCGGTTGACTCAATTGTTTCAGCATTGAGAGAGTGACGGGAGTCAGAAACAGTCCTCTTGCCTCCTGAGAATACGCGGTCAGGTTTGGAAGACATGGCAGGAATTGATAGGAGGGTAATTGCCCATGCCGCAAGTGTTGGGTATTCGCTTTGTTGACGATTCTCCTGCCACCAACTGGAAGGAAATTAGCAATTGAAAAAGGAGAATCAGGAAGACAATTAAGTTGAGATTCAGGAGGAGATACACACAGAAGAGGATTTTGAACGCTAGGTTCAGGCTCCGCAGGTGAACAATACCGCTCATAGTCATCTCTTATAGCGGCTTCCTCTGTGCTCCGCAGATCCATCCATGCCCAAAACTGATTGTCCCCCTCCTCGTCTAGCTCAACTGATGGGCTAGACAGATGATGACTCCTCCAAACTGCGCGACAGTCTGAGAGCACATGAATCCAAAATGGATTAGTTCTGCACTAAACATTCTAGATATAGAGATGGTTGGGTTGGATCTTACCGCTTGTAGTAACGCGCTTCCGGAAAGCCATGTGCTCGGACAATCGTTTCCCCGGTGATACGGATTGCAAGACACCATACAAACCTTGGGAATGGGGCTAATCCTTGGCCGGGCCCGCCGGGCCGCCCGGGCTTGTCCCCCCCTCAGCCCGGCCCAGCCCAAGGAAGCCCATGAGTGAGCCCAGCCCAATGAGCCCGACCCAGCCCAACGAATAGCCCGGGCCAACGAAGGCCCGACCCATTGCAAGGCTTGTCTGCAATTCCCGCCCATAGCGTCGGGGCGCTCTTTGGCAGTCCACCAGGAGGGCCCTGTGTGTTTCCTGGGGGGCTGGAAACACTGCCCCTACCCATAAGGCCACTGCGACGCTTCCGTTTTGAACACCATGATTCATATGGCAAATTACTACCCGATTATATTCACAACATATCACTCATCTTGTTTTGCTTGGCTCCCTCTCATCTTATGGAGATTTGCAATCTCCGTCGTGGTGTTAGCCACTGCTTTGCATTGTAATTTTTAGCGCTGCCACCACGATCATTATCAATTGCATCATCGTCGTCCTCAACACATTCTCGGTTGCCGTTGTTGTGGTGGTCGCCATTCTCATCATTCCAGTCGGCTGCATTACTATCAGTTCAATCCTCCCTGTCATTCCTGCCCGCATCTCCCATATGCCCCGCATTAAATCTCTGTTAACGCTCCCGACACCACCTGTGTCTTCATTTAAGTCAGGATTTGTGTGATCAGCTCTGGCCTTATCCTTTTCTGTGGCCAAATTGCGGTATTCCTCCAGTACCTCAAGTTTACTGACTGCCACTGCCCGCCATTCCAGGTGAAATTACAGATCACGCAGTATCTGGTTGTAGTCTGTATTGAGCTGTCCATGTCCTGTATCAACACCAATTGGATAACTTAGGTACAAAAGTAAGGCCAGGGGACTCCGATTTTGCGGCCTAACCTAGTGCCCACTACCCCTAGTAGGTTTATCCATTTATCGTCGAGTGAGTTTCCCCCCACACCTGGAGAACAAGAGGGTTTCCGCTACAAGCTGAACCACTTGGCCGTGTGCAGGTTCACAAAACGGGCCCACCACCTATGTGGAACGTTATGGGGCGGTCCAAACAGCGCAGAATTATGGTAGCGGGTCTTTGGAAAAGGAGAGAAAGAGGAGGGGTGACCTTGGTTGGCACAGGTACTATATTTTCAAAGTGCAGTCAGAACACAGTTTTTGAAATACCCTTAACCCCCGCTCTTCCGGTTCTCAATAATATTGATATGATACCTCACTGGCCCGTATGAAATACCGCAAAAACTCGCCAAACTCTCTATGCAGGTATTGGCGGTAGGGCTTGGATGGGCGCTTTTTTACCCGGAGAAATGACGGAAAATGACAATAACACCTGAGAATAGCTATATACCGGTGCCAGTCCCTACAGATACATGAAATACTGTAATAATAATGCTGGTCTCATAAGGTAAGAGAAAATAGGTTGGTCGCTCGAATGATCTTGGCTGTATCGCCACATATTAGCACCTCGACTCTCCTACCTGCATAGCAAGTTTCGCGAGTTTCTGCCGTATGTGAGTTGAACGTGAAGGTGTTTAGGACTGGTTAGTACCCCTAGCCCTGATCACTGCAGGTATTTAATGGTGGAATAGCATCGGGACACACCTTCCACACCGCACACCACACAAGAAACCTTGTTTTCCCATGCTCCACTCCCTCACAAACCTACCATGCTCTACACACTCTGATATATCATTCAAACCTGTCTTACCTTACACCGAGTACGCTTGATTTGCACTCTTAGACTTTTCCTGTTTTTCTCATGGCGTACTAATGTTTGTTTGCCCTTTCTCTTAGTGGACTCTCCTGCCCTTGCCCTTGCTCCATACGCTGGGGACAATAATTACCTGCTGTGGAATCTCCCTTCGATCCTGCAGCTACCGGATCATAGTTCTCAATCCTTCTCTGTTTGTCTACTGGGCGTTTGTTATTCATTCAGTTTGTGTTTTCCTCTGCTAATGCTTGTTTTGAGCTCCCTTCACACAGAGTATCCGTTGAACGCTACGGTGGCCTTCTAGATTGTGGGACAGGAGAGGATGTCACGCAGTCTCATATATCGTTCACCACGGCCCGGGCATTCGCAAAACCTCCCCTTAGTGACCTTACAGCTCCTACTACACATCTTACTATGTCAGACTCGGTCCCTCCACCCCTCTTTATTGTTACTACAAGCGTCCCCAAGGTTTTCTATAAGGGCCTGCCCTCTGAACCACCCCTCATCGGTACAACTAAACCTAACCCTTTTAAGGCTCCAACTGGGCCCGAGGCCTACTCTGTTCTGAAGGAGCTCAGGTATTCTGACGACCATCCCCTGGCAACTCTTTGGGACAATGGTCTTGCCTGTGAGCTTTCCTCTAGCCTGGCCTCCAAGGATGTCAAATGGTCTTCCCTCGATCTCC